AATCCATTTCATTATATGGCCTCCATTCCTATCTCTTTCACTCAAGATCTTGCTGCACACCTCTCTCCTGTAGCGCACCTGTGCAGCGCGCTAAGCCCAAGCTGCGAGGACGCTTTCGCTTTATTACCTGAACATCATTTCACGCTAACGTAAGCGCAAACGTTCGCATACAAGCCGCGACCAGATTCTCATCCAATTGCTTGCTTGCTTGCCTCCAGCCCACAGCCCGCAGTCCTCGCCGGCTGAGCAACCCCCTCGGAGTCTCGAGTAGATAAACAAGTGTAGCTTCCGCAAAAATGGGCAATCAACTTCAAATAGCAGCGGCGACCCACCTGACGTCCGGGTCCCCCCTCGATTGCAGAAGCCTTGTTACTTTTTAATACTTTTTATGATTATAACAATGTGTAAGGCGCTGTGCAAATACAAAATAACTTGTTTTCATTTCACAACAACAACAACAACAACAGCAAACAGCTAAGACAACAACAAATACGCCTTCGCCTGGGTAAAAATAATGAAAATCCCACTTGAAGCCGGTTTTTCGGGGGCTTTATCCCTTTTTGCCACTTGTGCCAGGCTCATAATATTGTTTGGCTTAGTTTTACACTAAACTGGCTGGGGCGCAACCCCCGCAAGAGACACAAGAAGCAGCCCTTAGTTTGAGCAAAGCATAATTTATAATCGCAATATTGCGCATACGCCGCGTATTAAGGCGAACGCGCGTGTAAACAGCCGCAGCGGCTTATTATGTATTTTGATAGTCTTTTCGTGCTTTCTGCTTTTAATTGTTAACATTTCATTTAAGCCACACACACACACACACACACACACCCTCACACACACACACGCTTTGGCTTTGTCGAATATTCATTTATCAAAACGTTGCCCGCATTTTGGCGCTTTGTGCCCGACTGGGCGCCATCAGCAGTAGCAGCCTGTCAGGAACTTGTTCTGAACTCCAATCTAAATCGTTATGCATAGCCGCCCAGCCACGCCCACCCCAAACAACACCACCACCAACGCCACCGCCGCCGCCAAGCCGGGGGCTAAAGCAAGCCATGACGTTTGCGTATGTCAAAGTTATCTAAATGAAAAATTGACTTTCATACACAAATGAGTGTGTGTGTGTGTGTGTGTGTGTATGTGTGCGTGTGTGTGCTTCGCTGGGAATCAGCGTACGTTGAGCTGCGCTTCCGTTGCGTTGGATTTCGCATTTACGCATTTCCTATTTTAGATGATATTTCATACTTTTCTGCTGACAGCAGCAACAAACCAACCGCTGATGATGATGCGCGTTTATTATTGTTGCTTTATGGCTTTTGCATACTTATATGCATAGTCTGATTCCCAGACAAGCCTCAGCCCGAGCCCAAAGCCAACCCAACACAGCCCATCCCATCCCACCCCATCCCAGCCCATCTCAGCCCAGCGCCAACTTCATATGCCTTCACAACTTCTCTCTACGTCTGTTTGCCTTAGGGATTATCAACTCATTGTGCATTTGCTAGTGCCACGCCCCCGCTCACATCACTGTGCCCCAGCTTCTGTCTGCCTGCCAGTCTGTCTGTCTGTCGCTTATCCGTTCATCCATTTACTCATTTGGCAGTTTGTCATTCGTTGTCTTCGCTCTGTAAACAGTTCAAAGCTTTAAACTGTTTGCTTTCAACTTAATTGGTCGGGCTATTGGCTTAATAAGATTCATTAACCATATGCCAAGGCAGCTTCATCATTTTCACTCTGTTCATATTGATTGACTTTTGAAATGAATTTTTTTGAATTTTTCAAATAAAATTTCTATTGAATTTGTGTGATATGAGAGAGTTTTTAATTGATAAACTAAAAGATCTAAACAAAATTGATACTACTTAAACTTTACAAAAATTTATATACATATAAAGATATCAATTTTTGTATTTACAAATATGTCCAATTTATATTTTCTATCATTTTCTCATATCTCATATATTTTCATATTATTATATATTATTCCCTTAAGTAATTGAACTCAGCTCAAATCGTATGATAAATGCGCTTATTGTGCAATTTCAATAACTTCCGGCAGCCATTAAATGGCTAATGGCACCTACGTGCTCGCATTGCAGCAGCTAGTTGTCTCGCTCTAACACACGCACTCGCGCGCATCAGATTTTTAAAATGTCAGCCTAAAAGTATGCAGCAGAATTTTGTTGCTGCATCAATCAAACTGCTAATACGCAACGCAACGCAGGCCAAAGCAATATAAAAGCCCGGACATGAGATGCCAATAAATTGTATTGTACTTTATACTCATGGAAAAACACAAAAAAATGCCAAATAAAATAAATTGAAAAACATTTAGCCGTGGCAGCCATCAATAAGCGCTGACAAAGACGATGCTGCCAACAGCTGAGACCCCAGCAGAAAAAAAAATCGAAAAAATAAAAGACAAACAGAGCGAGCAACGCAAAGTTCAGGACATTACGGACAACTAATGTTGATATTGGCACTACCCGACCCGATCCGACCCAACTCGACCCGACCCCAGCGAACCGACCAAAAGCCAAGCACCAAACTCAACTCGCAACACAAACAGACATAAAGAAACATAAAAAATTGTGGAAAAAACAAATAGAAATCATTTTAGCCAACTGCAGTTTCTGGCAACAGTTTCGATTCGTGTCATATGCTGTCTTGGCAGCGGCTGCACATCTGCTTTTCCTGTTGTTTTTGTTACCCAATGCGTGTGCCTCGATGGGGTATATAGGTTGTGGATGTGAAGGAGAGAAGGAGTTCGGCATACCTCTACTTTTTTTACATAGGCAGTCGCAGTTGATCTGGATCAATCTTATAGACTCCTTGCTTGGTAAACTCTACAAGTTGCTACTTCATCCCATCCTCTAAAAGCTCATCAGTTTACATCCCTCGGATTGAGAGATGATCTCTGATCTATGATCTATGATCTGATCTATGCATCTATCCATGTCTTCATCCATCAACGAATCCGACCGTCCATCTCTTCATATGTCTGTCTGTGCTTCCGACCAGCCTTTTCTTCATCTGTCCAACCAGCCTTTGTCCTACCGTTCGTCTTTCCGTCCTACCGCCATCATGGTCAGTCCATCCATTCGCCTGTCTATCCTTCCGTCTGCTCTTACTTTCGTCTGATGTCTATAAGTTCTACATTGAATTTAGACTTCTGTAGACTTATTTATTTATCGATGCTTACTTACTACCATAATCGATTAAAATCGATATTAATATTCGTACTCCCAGTACATTATAGATAATCTTGCCGTCAGTAACTCCTCACCAAAACACTCTAGATTCAATTTTTTGTTGTTCTTGCTTTATGGCACTTTAAATTAGAGCACATTTCTATGATTGCCTTTTGCGACGGTCCATAAACGGCGACAGGCGCCGTCGCGCAGTTCAATAGTTTTGTTTTGTTGTCGACTCGGCAAAATGCCAGCCGAACAGTCGCAGAGTCAAACAGTCGAACAGCCAAAGAGACATCGGCAGACAGCAGCTGTGACAGCTGCGATTTCTTAGTGCAATTCCCTCTACGGCTACGCTATGGCTTATATAGCATATTGTTCTTTCGCCCACTTTTGCTGTTGTTGTTGGCCTATTTTTGGGTACGTGATGGGATGATTGTGTGGCTGTGTGGGTGTGGGGCTGTCTGTCAATCGCATGTGACTGGGTCAAACTTTCTAAGCTACAACCGAAAGCCATACACGAGTGTCCTTTATGTGCTTAACCCTTTCGATGAAATATGAAAGTGATTAGATGCCAGTCGGCTGAGGCCAGAAGTTATTAAGCCAGCTTAGAGCGGGGGCGGTGCTGAAAAATGTGTTTATTTAGCTGATTAAGTAGGGTGAAGGATACCCTGTAATAGCATCAGAAAGGCAGCACATATGTTGATATTTATTGAGCCGAGCGCCTAGAAGAGGCAACATTTGTTGACAATATTAGGCAGACGAGTTCATGATGAGATCAGCAGAAAACAGGCCCTGTAGAAAACATTTTGGGTATAGTTGAGGATTTAGAAGAGGTAGTGGAAGAGGTAAGAAAAGCTGATTAACAGGGCCATGCATGGTAGGGATAGGTGGGGAAGTCTGAATACTTTTTATTATAACTTAAGTTACTCAGTTGCCATACTCTAAAGCTTATCTAAAGAGCCATTATGGAGCTAATAAAGCTTTTACATAGTTCCCACAAAACTCTTAAAGCTTACTTCAACTTCAAAACTCTTACACCAAACTCTCAAATCCCAAATAAAATTCCATTCAATTTCTCTATAAAGCTCTCTTTAGACTCCTTTCATATTTCAATAAATATTATCAAAGTAAAAATGACTAATTCATTAATTTTTTTTTTAAAGCGCTCTTGAAGCTCTCTCAAAGCTCTAATACAGCTCCATATAGCACTTATAAATATGACTGTTCTTCATTGATCCAACTGCCTAAAAATCTGCATTCCGCTCTAAGCTCAAACCCCATCTTAGATAATAGAAACGTAAACACAATCTATTTTATTTTACAAAAAAGAAGAAGAAGAACTTAGCCCAAGCCAACCTGCACGGGCTTGCTGTTGCCTTGTTAACCCCACTCAATCAGTGTACGAAAGCATTTCGTTTATTCATTTATAGAACATCAATCTCTCATCCGGCAGACAAGCGAACGATATGCCACATTCAGCTGAAACACACAAAATGCATTCGCATATGCAACAGTTGCCGTTCTCCCTCTCTCTCTCTCTCGCTCACTCTCTCTCTCCCTTTCTATATCTACCTCCAATAGCCAATGCCGCGTAACCCATTTGCCATGTTGGTTCGATAAACTCGTCATGGAGCTGCCTGACAACACGGCGCCAATAGCAACACCAACAACAACAACGGCTGGGAACAACAATTGTGGAACAACAACAACAACATTTCCACAGTGCATTGGCGAATGCCCAACGGTAAGGAAGCAATCTCTAACTTAATACGGAAAACTTGTAAAACGGCAAAGCAAAGCGAAATGGAAAAGCTGAAAGCCAAACGCCAGCCGGAGACCAACAAAGCCCCAATCCAGAGTCTGGCCCAAACTCAAACTCCAACTCCAACTCAGACCCATGCCCACGCCTATGCCAATGCCGTTGCCAATCCCTTCAAGCGCCCAATGAATACATTGCAGAAGCAATGGTATCGTGTGCTTCTAGCCAGGCGCGTGGGCTTCGGCCAGAGGCCTCAGCCGAGCGAAAAGGAGCCCACCTAGTACGTAAGATCGAATCAAATTGTGTGAAAATTGCAATTTCCTGTTGATTTAATACATTTTACAATTTTCTCACCCACGCCTTCGCCCTCGACCTCGCCCACTGTTAAAGCGCTGACATATGCCACAGACGCTATGTAGCCGCGTTTCGTAGATATAACGAGCGTTTCCGCTGGGAAATGGGAATGCACGAGCAGATGCAACGTTGCGCCATCGACGCAATGCGCGTGCACAGGTGAGCGAAACAAATTCTGAGAATTCAATTAGCCAACTCCAATTTGCCATCTACAATTTACAATTCACAATTCGCTTTGACAGTTCCACTTGACAAGAGGTTTAATTGCAATAAGCTCATCTCAGCTCAGCTAACTGACAAAACACGAAAGAGAAATAGATAGTAATACAAGTTAAACTACATGTCAGGCTTTTAACATTTAGATGAACTGCTCAGTCAGAGCTGGACAGCAGGAGCTTCTACTGCAGAAAATGCATTTGACAGGCGGTTAATTATTGAAGGCAATACCAGCTTATAAGAATTTATTTTAGAAGAGTACAGCAACCTTATGTGTGTATTCGCCTCCTGTCTTTGATATTTAACATGTGGATACACTGCTTGTCAAACTTTGACAGCATTATTTTTTTTCATTTCATTTAATTTTTCAAAATATATTTAACTGATTGTTAATTTTTTGAAGGCCAGCTTTTTAAGCATATATTATTCTAATTTTGGAATACTTTTTTACCTGTATATATTTAACTGGCAGTTAACTTAACTGTAAGTTAAGCTATTACAATAGAGCAGAATATTTAATTTTCTTTCTTATCAGATAGATATACATATATGTACATACATATATACAAATTTTATATATTTAACTGGCTGTTGAATTTGATCGACAAGCTCAATTATCAGATATTATCAGATATTTTCTTTTTACTAGAAGTTAGCAGTAGTTAGTTATAACAAGAGCTTTCTACACTTCAACTGACGGTTAATTGCCTGACATTTATCGATATTCGACACATATAAACTAATACATGTAACTCTTGCTCAAGCATTTTCTATGCACTTAGCTGTCAGTTAACTACTAACGTAAACTTCTTGCCTTGCAGAACATTTTCGATCACAACGCTGTGGCTGCCGTTGCACTCGAAACGGGAAATCAACTCAACGCTGGAAACACTGGAAAAGGTTCTGACAGTGAAGGAGAGACGACGCCTCGAGGAGATACTCAAGCGACTCGAATCGCAGCGCACGCGACGCTTTTAACAGATCTAATGACCGCCGCCCACACTCCCCAGCTCCAGCACTCTCGCACTCACTCGCACTCACTCGCACTCGCTCACACTCCCAACCTCCCGCACTCCCGCACTCCCTACCGAGTGCAGCTGGAGTGAAGCAGCGAAAAGCACTTTCGAGTGCCGCACTTACCCCGTGCCGGCAGCGCGGCCAAGACGCGCCCCTTGGACTTGAATTTCACTTTGCAGTGAGCCACATTTTGGAAATTGCTTTTCCTGCTGATGCTTTGTCGTAAATATTTAATACAAATAAAAGTGCGACTTTCACTTCATTTGAAGCGCAGCTCGTGTTGGGGATTCACAATTATCTGGCCCTCGGCAGCCGGGTCTCAGCTGCATTCTCAAATATGCAGCAGTTATGCTAAGTAGCTGCGCGCCGAGCACCCTTCGCGCGGCAGTGTTGAGTAACGTTCTCTAAAAATTACTGACATTCTAGTCAAATTGAAGGACAAGTGATTTTTGCTTAAGCTGCAGGAGAAGCACCTAAAATATAAGTGCTCTCGATAGGAATGGATGGTTACTTAACTTTGTTGCTTAATTGAATAATGAAGTCAGTAAATTAGTTTCATAGATTAACTGGATTTACTTATATAGGAATATATATCCCACTCGTTTGGTTGCCTTTCTTGTTTAAATGCTACTAAAGAAATCTCTCTTTCTCTCACTCTCCCTCTCTCTCTCTCTCTCTCTCTCTCTCTCTCCCGTTCCTTATGTATACATATATATATCTCTCTTTCTCCCTCTTTCTTTACTTTCTAGTCAATAATTGAGTACCGAACTGCATTAATAATCTTATTTTCCAACTACAGCTATTAATATATACAGCTCTCTCTCTCTCTCCCTTACTCTTTCTTTAACTCTCCCTCTTTCATTACTTTCTTATTTAAATAGTGATATTTGTCTAGTCAATAATTGAGTTCCAAACTCTATTTAGACTCTTATTTCCCCAACTACAGCTATCAATACAGCTCTCTTTCTCTCTCTCTCTCCCACTAGCCCTCCTTCACTTAATCTCTTGCTTATTCCCTCTCCTGCTCTGTCTGTTTATCTTCCATTCTATCTGTCTTCTAGTTGGTATTTGTGGCTGTTCATTTCTAATCAGAATCAAATGCCATTGCCGGTCAATCAGTCAAGCGTTTAATAACTGATTGCAGCTGTGGCTGTAGCTGTGCATCTGTATGCGTGCGTGTGTGTAAATGGAGAAAAGAGTAAGCAGATAAGTAGAAGTTGAAGCTAGAATAAAATTTATAACATATCTAACACGCATACATCATTTTGATATGCATGCCACGGGCACGTTTGCGAGTATTTGCTTAAGAGTTGAGGCTGAGAGGAGGAGAGCGAGTGGGGATGAGGAGCAGCAGCAGGAAGCCCTGGCAAGTGGCATAGACGTGGGCATGAGGGTAAAGGGGAGACAGTTCGCTGTGCACCGCACATGGACAGACACATTAATTTAGCTGCTGCTCTCGAAACCGCATGCAATTTTTCTTCGACTTGGCTGCTATCGCCTTTCAATGGCAGGAAGTGGCTGGAAGTGGCTGGAAGGACGCAGCAAAGCAGAGCGAGTGCCGGCCAAGCAGCTGGCAGCGAGGCATTCAGTCAGTTAGTCAGTCAGCCAGATAAGTGCGGTTTATGTGCGGCACGTAGCCCGTCTCAATACAGTCAATAAATTGCCGCTGCGCTGCACTGTTAACTGACCAAAAAAAAAAATAGAAAGGATCGATGGAAAAGGGGCAAAAATGAGGGGTGGGGCATGCAAGGTATTGGGTTTAGTCGAGCTGAGGAAGTGGGCAAGGGTTGGCATGTGGATGAAACTGATGCTGCGCATTTCTCTTTCCACATTCATATAGGTTCAATCTCAATGCACTTTAAGCACTCGAAACTCGCAGCTGGACTCAAATGCCAATCAGATTTTAAATT